GTCTTGACAGTAACATATAATGTACACTTCCCTTTGAGTTTTACTCTTTCAGAGCTGTCCCTTTTGATACATCTACTTTTGTTCCTGTAAATAATTCTATGTAAAATCCAGAGACTTTTTGAGAAGCAGCCTTATTAGAAACCAGGCTTTTAGAACAGTGTTAATTATCAGGTACTTTACTGTGAGGGTGATGGAGCACTGGAACAGGCTGCCCAGAGAGGCTGTGGAGTCTCCTTCTCTGGATATGTTCAAAAGCCACCTTGACACTTTCCTGTGTAACCTGGCATAGGGATCCTGCTTTGGCAGGGGGGTTGGACTAGATGATCTCCTGAGGTCCCTTCCAACCCCACCATTCTGTGATTCTGGGATTCATGTGAGCCAAATAAATCAAACACATCTGTCAAGCCATGTGTTTCCAACACACTGCTAGCCTGGTTTTGATGGTATTCCTTCTAAGAACACACTTGTGTAAAGAATAATGATCACATAACCATTTCTCAGTATCAGTATGTTATGATCTTTGTTATATCTTGGTAATACTGCAACTCTGTTTGTTTGGGTTTTTTTCTTTGAATGTAAATTAACTTGAGTCTGCCAGCATACACACATGTGGATACAAAACAAAAAGAATGTAAAGGTAGTAGTCTGAAGACTTGTAGTACCATGCTGAGGTACTACTGAAAGATGAGAGCAGTAGTTAGGACTTCTTGTCTGAGACATGATTTGACTAAAAATGTAGCACATCCTGGTATGTCAAATAGAGCTCACATTTGTCACCAGACCTGACTGAGTTCAGGATGGAGATCAAAGCTGCCTGCAATCTGCATCGTATAGAACTGCTGAAAATTGAGCTGGAATGTTCTTCTCTCTTAACAGTCCACAGACTCTTTTGGCTGGAATGAATAAGTTTTTATCTCAACTTGAAATCACTTTTAGAAGAGACCCCAACAATTACAGACCAAGAATAAACAAACTCAATTCAATCAAGGTAAGAGAGAAGCACCTTTACAGTAAAGAAGCCGTGACTGTTTAATATAGAGCCAGGTTTTAAAATAAGGAACAAAATGAAGACTAACCTGGTTGTTTTGCTGTGCTGGAAAATAGCATGTGAAGTAAGTGGTAAGGGAAGTAGAAAGGAGTTAAGTGTCTTTTATTTCAGCTCTGTTCAAGTCTGACAAAGACTACTTCAAGTAACACTGATGTTTTTTTCTCTTCCCAAGGATGTGGAACAAAAGAAGAGTGGAAACTACTTTTTCCTGGATGACTAAATATTGAATCTGAGCATCTCTGTAACTGGCCCATAGAAATGCATATTGGAATTTGTGGATGAGAAGGCTCAGTCAGGTTTTAGAACACTTAAACTTTTGGAGCTTAAAATCTCTTGCTGTGCGTAACATCGGAACAAGTAGCAGTGTAAATCCTAGTCTGAGTAAAACTGCCACTTTATATTTTGGTGACACAGCCCTATTTTCAGTGTAATAATTAATTTCAAAATAGACCACTTTGAAATTGTGCAAATAAGTCTCCTGATTTTTCAAAATATAAGGGAGATTTTCAAAGTCAATATATTCTACTCATGTACCCAGTACTGACTGCACTTCCTCATTTTGAAAATATTTGAAGCTGATTTACCAAGAATGTGAAGCTACAGAAACAACTCTGATTTTAAAAAGGTTGAATCTCTCTGGATGAGGGTTTCATAAATAAATATCCTCCTAACTTACAGCTCTTCTGTGACACAGTGCTAACATTCTTTAATTATGAATTCAAAAGTGTGTATATTTATACAATGTCATCACACACACCTTTTCTCATACTAAGACCATACAAAAGATGACTACAAACAAGCTAAAGGAAGATATCTACACTTTTGTTAGTCATCTGTCCCTGTGCATCTTCTCAGACCTAGTTACAGAAGCATAATCAGTTAAATAAAGTCTTAAAGGAAATACTAAAATCCTTTCAGTCTTCTGTAACTGAAACCTACAACGTGAAGAAAGGTTACCAGCTGTTCTTTCCAACTCATTCCTCCATCCATCCATAAGTGCTTGTACCCATCATCTTTCCAAGGGAAAGATTAAGTTTTTACAAGGCTGAGATGCAAAACTTACTTTTGCCTAAAGCAAAAGCTTTGATCCTTACTCTAGAAAAAAATGAAGGGCAAAAATCAATTTCCATGTAAAGGTTGGTCCTTCCGGGAGACAGAGGGAAAATGCCTCTATTTAAGGGTTCCTACTTACTTGTGAAAGTAAGGTTTGGGGACATGTAAAAATAACTTTCAGCTGTATATCTTAAAAGAAAGGGTATTTTCCATGCAACAGTTGTCTGTTCTGCCTTCACTGACCTGTGAAAAATGTTATGAGAGAAAAGGAGACATGGCTTTGTTGTTTATTTACATTTTTGCCTCATAAGTTACCAGAGAATGTTGTGGTTTGTTGGTTTGGTTTTTTTTAGCCATTATGTAATTATATATTTTAGTAACTTGGATATTTTATGAGCTTGGCTGTATCAGGTGTTATAGACACTGTACCTCGCTCTGTCTAACTGACAACAGAAATCCATCTGTACGGTGCCAGCAGAGGGACTCTGAAGAAGTACAGGTCATTGATGCAGCCTTACACCACCACCATCTGCTTAGACAGAAACTTCCCAAGGCTACCTACAACTTAAGTCATGCAGATGTGTACCAATCCCTTTGGACTCGAGTTCTGCATCCACTGTTAATCAGTCCTAATTAGGGTAAGGTAAAGATGTGCTTTAGCAAATACCTCAGTTCACTATATGCTAAATAGTACCTATAGCTCCCTACTAACCAATATGACCCTGCAACCTAAAACATTCTGCCCCATGTAAAGGGTTTGGCCAATCAATCTCCAAGCCTTTCAGCAAAACCAGAGGAAACTGTTTCCTTTATCAACAGTGAAGGTGGAGCAAATACTGCATCTGCACCTTTCAGTCCTTAACTGTCCCAGTGTAGCTAAAGCAGGGCAGAGGCCCAGCTTAAATGCTCTCAGTCAATTTTACAAAATAAATTCTAAAAGCACAGCCCTACCCGTTACTGCCATGTCTGTGTTTGCCATTGTTTCCCAAGGGGTTTCTACAATACCGATGCTGCCTTTGTTCTGGCAGCAAAGCTTGCTGTTAGTACTGAGTGGTTATTTCAGTGACTGCTGGACAGATGTGGGCTTCAGCTGCCGTTACAGTTTAGAGCCTCCTGGGAAAGATGACAAGAAGCCCCGTTTAAGTCTTTGTAAGTAGCAGAGGTAAACAGAGGCCCACAATGGTATCCCCTATTAAATCCCTCGGTGCACACTTAATTCTCAGCCTGAAAAACTGAAGATTGCCTTTATCAAAATCCTAAGTGTGTTTCTGAATTGAAAGCATGTAGACTTAAAACCACAAAGCCCCCACAGCCCAGCCCCTACCACTCCCATTTTGAATGGGAATTAGCAATCCAGTTTACATCCCCTTTTTTCCTACATACTAATTGTTCATAGTTCTGCTGCTGTCTACGAGCGGCTTTATCGCCACAGAACCATACAATTAACATCATTCCAACAGTTTCAACTCTGGGAATATAATTTAGAAAGAAAGTGAAAAGACAAACATTTATTTAAGTAGGGTTTTATACATGGCATGCATCTGAAAAGAAATTCTTTATCACATAACTATCACTCAAGTTTCCTGATCAAGGGTGTACAATCTCAGACGTGAGTTTTGGGTACCATCACCTATGCTAGTATATACAGAGATACAAAAATACACACAACAATTAATTTTACAGAGCAACAGAGCTGAGTGAATACTGTGTACGCTGCGGTCTCCGAGTTTGGACAGCTGAACATCCAAACTGCAGAGGCAACAGGAACACTGTGGAGATCATTTTCAGGGTCAGAAGAAACAGCATCAGAACTCTGACACAGTGTAAAAATATAAGGCAGAAGCCACTTTCTTCTGAACTGTAGGGAAGAGCAAAGCACACCGAGACTCTCCATGTTGCTTTTAAAAGTAGTTCCAGCAAGGAGCTGTACATGCAAAACGTAAATTTGCATCAACAGTGCAACAACAAAAGAATACTGAACAATAGCTCAATCATACAAACTTAAAAAAACCTAACCTGTACTTAATGCATCTCCTCACAAAATACCTAGGATTTGTCAGTGCATTAGTGTTAAAGTGGCATTAAAAAAAACTTCTGCTATTATAACAGATGCAGAATTATTTTGGAAATGCATAGCATCTACATTTTTATTGTCTTTGATAGGCACCATTCTAGTCACACCGGCATTAAGAACTCTTGATGGAAACAGCCATTCTTATCAATTCATACACAGCTATTCTTAACTGCTTGTCTTGATTTTGATTTCAACAAATAAATGCTTCTTAAAATTCAAAAATATACCCTATGAATATGAAAAGAACTATATACAACAGAGCTAAGACACAGGGTTAGCTGGCTGCCATACGTGTAACACACTGAAGAGAAACATTCAAGTTTGACAGATTTTTTTTTTTTCTTTTTTTTTTTTGAGAGGAAAGGCCTTTGGGTTGGAAGCATATCAGACAACAGTGCAGTAGGCTGAGAATTCCTTTAGCTCAGTTCAGAACTAAGGCATTGTATGATAAAATATACATTTATATTTGGTGCAACGTTACTGTCAATTTTAGAATCTAGATCACATCAAGTGCTATAATTTGTCACTCTAGGAAACGCACGTATCCATCTTCTATCACAAACTCAAACCTTTGGGGGGGGGAACCCAATTATCAAACACTAAACCTATATTGTTTTTTCTAATTTGACATTGAGGAAAAAATGCTAAGCCAAACAAACTCTATCTCAAAAAAACCATAGAGCAGGAGTTCACGTCCTCCTAGTCTTTACTCACTGAAAGTTAAAGGTATCCTTGCACTTTACTAAAAAGAAAGATTAAGATTTTAAACTGCTACTTAATTTCCAATTACTTTTGCATTTTAAAATTGTCAATTATTCACTCATTCTATGCTTGATGCCCCCTCTGATTATCTCCCAGTGTTGCCCTTCTCCTGTCGTTCCTATACGGCCTCCCTCTGAAGTTTCGCTGGTACTGGTAGCCATCATCTCTGCTTCTGCTGGGTGGAGCTTTCCAGGCTTCCTCGTTTCTTTGGAACTGGTACCCTCCCCGGCTGGAATAACCCCACTCCAGCCTGGGCCTTCTGCCTCCTCCGTAAGTCTGGTTGTAAAACTGCTTGGATCTCCCACTCCTCAGCATATCGGAAACGTCACTCTCATCTTCAGAGCTCTCTTCCCTGGCTCGCTGTGCCCTGCTCTCTGCCTGCAGGTTAGCGGCACCCTTGGAATCTCGACCTTTATCAGTCTTCTCCTTACAACTGGGAATGCTATTTTTCAGTTCATTTTTCGGTGTTTCTGCCAACAGTGGCAGAGCATTGGGCGCCGCTGTCTGCCTCTCCGGCCCCTGTGATGGCAGAGAACGATTTTGCTGCCCAGGTGCTGTTTTTTGCTTAGCAGGAGAAGCCAAAGGACGAGCTGGCTCCAACTGAGGTGCCCTAGCTGAAGTTTCTTTTGGGGCGCTGCACTCACTGCTTGTGCCAGCCACAGGGAAGGGTTCGGTGCTGGAGCTGCTGCTGCTGCTGTTTGGCTTCTGAAGCTGTTCTGCACAGTTTACTACAGGAACTGGAGGGCTGCACTCTTTAGCCACGTATGCGTTCACAGAGGCGCTCGCTGTTGCCTCTTTGTCCTCCGGTGATATGACAACGTTCGGTCTCGCTACTGAATTGTCAATGAAACCTTGAACTGGGTACCCATACCAGAAGTGAGGAAAGAAAGGAGGTGCTATTGGAACAGCTCCTAGAAAGTGGTTGTGTCCAAAGGGTGCCTGTGGGAACATGTTTTTCCCTCTCAGCGACTCCTCATAGGTTGCATGAAGAGCTTGCACTGGATTCTCCGATTCTACGCAGACCTGTCCTTGGCTTTCTGACACCTGAGCTGTAGGGATAATCAGAGGCAGCGACTGAGATCTACCATCAACCTGTGGAATCTGACCGTTGGATCTGGCCTCGTTCTGAACAGGAAAGTGCCTGTTTGTTCGCACAGTTTCGTTTTCATTCTGAGTCGGCAGAGCCTCCTGGAACCAGGGGTTGTGTGGGTACACGGGAAGGGACACATTTGGGTACATTCTACAAGCAGCTAAATAGGCCTGGTGCAGGGGGTACAAGTAGGAATGGGGTGCCCACATGGGACAGCTGTATGCCTGCAAGATGGGGGGGGGGGGGTGTGGAGGGGAAAAAAAAAAGAAAAAAAAAAGTATTTCATCTTTTGAATGTTCAGACAGACACAGTAGCACACAGGTCATTTATTATTTTGAAACAGTTAATTACTGGAAGGAAAGGCTAATTTTATTTACAGTGACTGCCCTCAATCCTAAATATCTAGGACTCCAGGATGATGTTCTCATTTTTCGTTTTCCTTCCAAATGCAGTTGCAATGGGCAACAGTTATGACTGGGATGAAAACGTGGTAACAATTTCTATATAGTTAAACCCATGATGCTATTAAGTCAAGCTTTAGCTATGCATTTGAAGACACACACATTTCAAATTCATTTTCCAGAATCACAATTATTACTTGGCAATTTGCCCTACTAGCTCACTTTTCAAATTTTAAGGGATAATAATCAAAACAAGTCATACCACACACATATTTTCACTTAACAACAACAAAAACCCAACAAAAAAACCACTCAACTCTACTGAAACCCCAAGTTATATCATTTCCCCAAGGACAATTTGTAAAGATTGAAATCCACACATATACTCAGAAGCCACAGATCAGCTTTGCTGGAAGCCCTTTCATGAAGTAGGGGGACAGGTTTCATGAGAACACACAACACGCTTTCCAGCTACTGGTGGGAGTCACACCACAGACACACCATTTTCAGCAGCAACCTTTTCTGTGCTCTTACTGCCCGACAGCTACGGTCACAACACTGAAGTTGTCCACCTCAGGTGGCGGCCCCCTTCCCTTTCCTCTCCTCCCACCTTAACTAACTAGCACACAGCAGCTTATGGTTACATTGCTCAGAGTTAAGAGTTTATAAACACAGACTCTGGCCTTGTGCTATAGTACACAGCAGCTGGCCCAAGAGCAACCTTGTAGGATGTTTTTAGAATACAATGTGCCATACAGAACACCACACAAGGCTGCTGGAGGCACAAGGCTGTCTAGGGAAACACTGCAGTAGGCAGAGCCCAAAAGCTGGTCTTGTCTGTGCCATCTGTAGAAACAGTTCCTAGAGCAAACCATCCTGAGCAGCTGACCCAGACCTCCTCCCAACAGAACCTAATCAGTTCATGCTGAACGAGCAGCTGGAAGGGTGTGGGTAACAACACAGCAGGATCTGGCACCAAAACGGTGGACATGGTGACACAGAGAGTAGTTCCCTAATCTACCTCACCGTTTGGTCACCCCCTGAGGAGCACAACTACTAGAACGTGGTACTGTTACCAGCAGATGGTGCTGAAGCACCAACAGGACAGACTACACCCTAACTAATACCAAGTACCAGTAAGGAGAGTCCCAAATATATGTAGGCTTATGAAACAAACACTGTTTAAATATGTCACTGTGATTAGCAGTGACACTCGCTAATCCCTTATGGATTTTCTATTAAGCAAAGAGCCTGGTATTAGGCACACAGTCATCAAATCTAAATTTACTTTGTAAGTTGTGCTGAACATTCCCTCTTTCCATGCACACACACCAAAGAAAATCATTACTTATGGCCTAAGTCGTGTGGAATTAGCCTAAGAGCTCTCAGCACCTTTTCCAAAGCAGCCTGCCTGACGTAGGAGTAGGAGAAGGTAAAAAAAGAACATTTTTAAGTGCAGAAGGGAGAAACAAAGCCAACTAGTCCTTACCAAGAAATGGAAAATGTTGCCTTTTTGAAAGAACCTCTTCCCCAACCACACACACAGATTTGCACCACATACACGCATCAACCACTGATATAATTACTTAGAAGATAAAATACTGTTGTCCTTAACCTGAGCAGAAAGGACAGACATGCAGGTTACTTAAGGGACTGTCCACAGGGAAAGACATACTAGGTAGGTATCTGTCCTGCAGTGGCTCTGGCAGTACACAGACATGGTCAGAGGGCCTCTTCTCTTTTATCATACACTGCTTTGGAAAGAAAGCATCTTTACACTGACAATGGTTTGCCTGGGAATTTGGAGAAAAAAAAGAAAAAGATTTGCACAGTCTGTTGACTGTATAGCCACATTTGGAAGCCAACAGTTCTCACTGTCACTGTTGAGATAAAATTTATTTTTGTTGACTTGAACTCCAATGTGGACAACTGTTGGGATTAATAGAAGACAAAATAAGAAAGTATTTCAAATTTAAAGATGAACTGGAAGTGTACAGCTGCAGCAACCAAACTTCTGCACCCCAAGTACTACCAAATACAAGCAAACTGTATGGTATAACAAACACAAAAAAGTAAGTAAGTAAGTTTGAAGAGTTACCTTCACACCAAGATTGAAGAAAAATCTAAGAATATTCTTATCTAGGAAAAAAAAACACAGAAAAAGATCTATGAAGACCTAAAATATTACACTTATCTGATCCAAAAATTAGTCCTTGCATAAAGTTCTATTTCAGTAGAGAAACGCTGGTATTAAGTTGCTGCTTACAGATCTTTGATTGATTTGGGGTTGGGTTTTTTTGCCACAGTAAGATATCTAGAACACAACTGCAGTTTAAATTTTAGTTTTAGCAGTTGTGGAACTGGACTTCTAGTTTTTAAAGGAATAGTTCGGTAAACAAACACCAAGGTGCTGTCAGACACTATCTGTTCTTTATGGGCATACTCCATATTTTGTAGTATAAGAAAACCTGTATTTTTCCAGACCAGTAAGGAAATGCTCAACAACTTCCAAGCTTTTGATTACAAGAGAAAACCTGTTACTGTAAAAGGAAGCAGATCTCTGAAGAAAATCCTTTACATTCACAAAACTTCAAGTTATGGTGGATCAAGATAATAACCACAAAATTACCATATCAGATTTCCAGGCTTAACCACTTAAAATAATCACAGTGTTAGCAACACAAACCAAAGAGTTACAACTCTATTCAATGTTCCCTCCCATGCCTTAAATCATGGCATGACAACAATTAGATCTTTTAATACAGACTAACAACAGGACCAAAGAAGTTGTCTTTATCTACATTTTAAGAGAAGAAAACCTACTAGGAAAAATGGTACAAAATCCAGACCTCCTCCGAGCTCCTCACCTTTAGGTAAGTCTTCCCCAGTATTGCACAGGGAGTAAGAGGGTGCAACAGCTCTTTCTCCCTTTTCACTAAAAGGGAATCCAGGGTATAGTGGATCCTGATAAGGATTCAGAGTCTGAGGCAAAGGCATTAAAGGCTGGTTAACCGCTTGTAGCGACACGGGAACTCCAGCAACTGGAGCAGATGTTACCTGAGCCTGTGATAAAATAGAGTCAGGTCCCGTTGCTGGGGCTGGCATCAATGAAGAAGCAGGTATTTGGGCTGGAATACCTAAAGGGGAAAAACACATATATATACACCCACATACCTATATCTATTTTTTATACATATATATAACTCAACTATATACCGTCACAAAAGAAAATGACAGCAGAAAAGCAAGTTTCAAAAGACAGAAGAAGGAAAAAAAAAAAAAAAAAAAAAAAGGAAGGTATTCAGGAAGACATAGGAATAAATTCTTGAATTGGAAATTTACAAACAAAAAAAGACTTGGTGAAATGCAGAGCCTAGTTTTCAGAAAGAGTAAAACAGTTCAGCTTTCCAGAAATAGCTAAACTCTTCCCATATTTATTTTTAAAATTATGAATACCAGAAGGAAATAAGAAGGGGGAAAGAAAGGGGGGAACTGAAACTTAGAAATGTGAATCTCTGCAGTTCTCTTTCTGAATAGTCATTTACTGAATAGTCTGAATAGTCATTCAACTCTGAATCTGAGCTCAGACTAACCAAGCTACGCATCTTCTGCCACAAATGCGGTCAAGTATGACAGGATTATTACCGTATCGTGGAAACACAGCGTGCTGACTTGAAAGCCCGTTCTTGTACAGAAACACAACAGTGGGAGAGAGAATACAGCACCCAAGCTAATGAGCAATACTGAATCTAAACTAATTCCACGTATCAGAAGATACGCACAGCACAGAAAAACCTTTATACTGGCTTTGCAGCTCAGGTCCACACGGATCTTATTAGTTCCAGACACACCAGACCCAAGGTGAGTCCTTAGTGTATCAAGGAGCTTGTTATATGGGACACAGAGCACAAAGGCATATCAAGCTTCAACATGCTGACAGCGCGTTCTACCCTAAGCAGATCCTCAGAATAACCCCCCTCAAAACTCAATGCTATTCCACTCTGGAGAAAAACAGGATGTTGAGTACACATCCCTCTTCCACCTTCAGGTAGGGAGTAAAGCAAACTATACATATGGGCAATTAAAGGTCTACTAGAACTCTCACCAGCTTTCAGCAGTGAGAAACTACATTCCTACACATGAATTCCCTTGGAATGTGAAGTTACATGAAACACCATCTCCTAGAGGCATCTTCAATTTAGCAAGACAGATAAAAGTATTTTTCAGGGTTAGTAGTTTCTGATTTATGTTAATATTTCTTCAAACCTGCTGGTCCATAGGTTGTTGGCTCACTAGGCCAAGTTGGCACAATGGCTGGTACAGAAGGCACTGTTGGAGGTAAATGCACCTCAGAAAAGACTGGTGAGGGTGTTGGAGTTATGCTTGGTAAGCATTCTGTCACGTTCTATAAAAAACAAAGATCACATGAAATTATTCTAAACCACCATTGTTGGTGACCCCTAACATGTCTGACTTCTACCAAAAAAGGCTTGATGACTCGGTATTATCCAGACTACTACCATCACCATAGGAAAATATTCACTAATAACATACCAGGCTCTATGCGTAAGAAACATCCGAGATACATTACATCACTGTGTGAAGAGCTGCACTGAGCTCTAGCCAGAACATGCCTGTACTGCAGACAGCCATCAGTGTTATAACCACCTTCACAGGCATTCAATTTAGTCTCTCCCATCAAAAAAGAAAAGCTACCCTCACAATTACCAAAAACCTTGGAGAAACCTGAAAAAGCAAAGGTAAAGAACTGAAAGCGCAAAGCATGGTTCTCTTAGCAGAAATATATGAAAGAACCCCTCTCTCAGAAGAAAAAGGATATACTTTTACTTTTCTATCAAGGGTTGTGCTTTGTGGTGGTTTGGGACAAAACCAGGACATGCTTTTACATTCTTTATGTTGGATATAACAGATTCCTAACTGTAAATAAAAAATTTTAGTATCACCATAGAAATGACTATGTAATTAAAAGCCAGTATAATAATACATACGTGGCTGTGATGAAGCTCCCCTTTGTCTGAAGTCTCCTGACTGGAAAGCTTTGAAATCAAACTAATATTCCTTACTTGCTCAGCAAGACTCGGAGAATCTGTTTTCACTTGTTCCAAAGGAGATGAAGCTTTCGGGTAACTCTTATCTTGACCACTCTTCTAAAGCAAATTCAGAAACAACAGACACAGCTAATCTCATAGTAAGATTTACTTTTCAAAGAGGCATTCAAAGATACTAAACCACACTACATACAAAGTGGGCTAGGCACCCAATCACTATTATACTAGTGTATACATCTCGCTCATTGAAAGGACAGCAAAGGTTAAAAGCCAACAAGAGGCCACAAATCTTCACTGAACTTCAGAGATCATGGTCTGTTAGCACAGTAGCCATTAGTAAACATCAGATCTTCTGTGGTCCCATTATACTGAAAGTACAGACTGTACCACGCAATTACAAATCCAGATTTGTAAGTGTTCTCAATAGCCCAGACCTGAGAACTCAGATTGCAGAGAAAGACTATAAGTATGGGTTACAGGGGCTGAGGAAAGCTGACAGCAATACAAGCCTCCACCCTCAGAAGTATTTCACCAAAAGCTGTAAAGCAGCAGCAGCAATCACAGCTCTAAATGCAGCTATTGCTCTGCTAATCATGTATCAGAGAAGCAATAACATTAAAAAAAAAAAATTTGGTCTTTTCTTTAAGATTACCTCAGATGAATTTGGCTCAAGCTTCTGACTTAAATGGGTCTGCCTGGAATTTGACTCTGTAATACCAAGACATAACCTAGTAAATGAACCATTACACCATTTATGGCTATCACAACTTAAGCCAGTTAAAAGTTTGTCTTTCCAAAGTTAAACCTTCAAAACAAAACCTACCTCAGCACAAATTACTTCAGAACACTTAAACTTCCATTGTTATCAAAGATCAAAGCATCCTAAAATAAACAGTTGTTAGGGCAGTAACAGAGCAGCTACTTCAACCTAGGTTTTCAAAGCTCTTTACTGATGTGTGTTAACCGTTCTGGTGATGCTTGAGGGAAACAGGAAAGAAATGTAGCTGTCTCTTTAAACACGTATCATTCATCCTAAATCCCTCCTAGTGAAAAAGAAATAAATTTATACTTTGCTTAAAGTGAAAATGTTTTGATCTGCATTTCCACATTCAATTGTTAAGAAAACAGAAGCTTAAAGTCTTGTCTACTTTTGACTGAGTAAAAGAAAGATCAGTTTAGAAGGTTTCAATGGTTCAAAAGATCTAGAAAGTTTTCAAGACTGATACAGAAAGTTTAATTTCTCAAGCACCAGCAAACACTTGGTGGGAGAGATGGTGTTGAAAAGCAGTCATGGCATAATCTTCATATAATAAGACCTGTACAAGTTCTTGAGATTCTAGCTTATGATCAAATCTGGCTACTAATGCTTGTCAGTCAAATTCATGCACATAAGTTTAATAGTAGCTGCTAAATAGATATGTACTTTTTTAAAAGCTCAGTATATGTACCATCACAATGAGACAGCAATGTAAATTAAAACAATATTGATTATGACTGCCAATTCCCCAAGCACCAACAGTAATCTCTAAACACTCAGAAGGAAGCACAGTTTACTCCCATAGGATTTTTAACCTCATTTCAGAAGAGGCAACAATCCAGAGTGTCACAAAAAAACAGAGCAAGCTCTACATGCCATGCACTTCAGCAAAATCTATCATGACCCTGTAGTAAAGAGCTTTCTCTACATACACATTCTTTTTGGCATTGCTGATGAGACAAGTTTTCAACTGAAACAAGTTTTCAGATGTTTGAAGAATGAAAAATAAGTAGCATCAGTCCTTGTGAGACCATTCAAGAAGGCATTACACATTGTAAGAAGGACTAAGGAGCACAAGTACCATAAATACACAACAGCAATGCCTCTGCTGTTGCCAGAGATATGGGAACAAAAAAAAAAAATTATCTAAAAACTGAGGGGAGGAGCAGCTTCTAAGAGGAGGCTAAAGAGTTTGAATTTTATTTAGCCAGGAAAAAAAAAAACAAAGTGGAAGAAGTCAAGATCAAGTTTGGTGTTTAGTTATGGCAAAGCTGACAGGACAAAAAATAACCAAAAAAAGTTTTTAAAAAACCCCGAATTATCATCAGTTGCATTTAGCAAAGATTTACTGACTACCTCCTGACAGCTACAGCGTTCATCTATTACTGCCACGTTCCACTGCCTCCCAGAAGAGGAAAAGCTTACAGTCAGTGAAGAGACTGTTACAACGGATTAGGGGGAGGGAGAAAACCCAAACCAATTTTGACCATGTGACAGCTCTTTCTACTGTAAAAGGGGGCGAGTATTTCAACTCTTCTGCACACCATCTTCTCCCCTCTTTCTGTACCACTGTGTGCTAATTTTTAACCATGCCACACTGAATACTTTTACCTGTTTTTCTCTTAACTGACTCCAGTAAGCACTCTTAATACTCCTCCCACTCTCACTACAGGATCTAATTTAGGGTTGCTCTGATAGTCTTCGTTTTTCTCATTCCTCTTCCCACTTACTACAAAAATCCCAGCAAGGAGCCTGCTCCCTCAGCCACATTCATGAAGCAGGAAAACACTTCCCCCCTCCCCACCCCGCCCTCTCCCCCCCAACCACACCTTTGCTACCTTCAGCCTAGCTTAGTTTGGCACTATTACTTATGATCATTTTCCCCTCAATGCCTGAACAGATGCCCCATCTTGAATAAATTCTGAAGCTGTTAATAAAACCACACAAACAAAACTAGGCCTTGATCTGAAAACATTTATTTTTACCTTTATCCTTCTGCTCTTCCACCTCTGCTGTCCACTTGCCGTTTCTTCTCTCATTACTTGAGAACTTTTTCTGGTTTAAACTATCCACAGTCTGTGTAGCAGCCTGACAAACTGACTGATTCTAAAGAAGTTTAAAAAAGCAGAAATGTGAGTTTATATAAGAAGTCTGATGATACTTTGCCATTGTCAGTTATGACACTATTATTCCTTCATGACACATAATACTTATCTCTGCAATAGGCAAAGGGGGAGGGAAGCAGTCTTGATCAGTATCATCCAGATTCACCCACTCTTTCATTCATGGCTATATTTTGCTAAGCATCCTTTAAAAGCATTCATGTAATCAGCCTACATGAAAACCAAAACCTGCTTCACTCAGGCAATATCTGCTTTACAATCACATGGTGCTTCTGCAGGTGAGCATACAGCATGCTGTTAATCACAGCTCAGAGAGAGACAGCAACCTCTGTCCATTAGGCTTCAGTCTTGGACTGCTCTTTGCAGGACAGAAGAGCTGTACACTTCTTCTCAGTTACACCAATGTAAGTCATTACTGCTCAAAAACTGAAAGATACAGGAAGTATCTTCCTAAAGTGCAGGAAGTCACTTCCACAAAGCAAGAGATTTAAGGCCCATCTTTCACCTCCTTGTTCTTCCCAGCCTGGTTCTTGCTTCTGTTTGCCCTGGGATTTAAATCCAAAAACCCCCACACATCTCTAGAGTAAACCTGTGTAGACAGTAGCTCTTTACCCACAGGATCTGCTCACTCCCTGGATATACCAAGACTACAATCCACATCCTTTAAAAAATGCATCAATAGAATAATCTCTCAAAATCTAAAGGCTACGTTCTTCCCTCAGACATAGACAAGTTTACTTAAGCCAACTCAGCTTCACAACAGACAAAGAGCAAGTCTGACAAAGAATCTGCAGAACTTAAGACACCAGGGAAGTTCTCAGCCTAAAAAGAAAAGTCACTTATACATAAAATAGGTTTTATGTGAACCTAATCATAAACAATGACCTACTCACCTCTGATACTAATTCAAGCACCACAGTGCCATTTTACTGAGCTATTTCTCAGCTAAATTAAACTGTACTTCAGAGCAAGTTCTGTCCTCACCTTGGAGTTTGATCCCACCATACAAGACAACATCTGAGTAACTGTAAGGGAGTGCAAAGCCTTCCAAAGCCAGCAGGAACATGAAGAAAGAAGGCCACAGCTTCAAAAGCTCGTGTGTCTACCACATTTACATGGCTAAAGAACTGTATATGGTGGACATCAATTATTCCCAGGGGAAACTACTACGTATGTGTCTTGTCTTGAATATATAAAGCATTGTAGATTCACATATTTCTATGTAGAAAGTGAGTGTGAAAATATCCTTAACTTTTGAATTGTATTGTAATGCAAGGACAGCAAAACAACAACTGCTAATTAAAGGTTCATGGACAAGCATCAAAAATGCACTCTGAATTACAATGGAAAAAAGCATACATTGGGAAGAGCAGGAAAAGCTTGTTCATCTCTCTGCTGGATCTCATAAAGCGAACGAGATTCTTCTATCGCCTGTTTCTCCCTGCGTTCCTCTGGAGACAGGCCAAAGTAGTTACAATCTCTGATGCCATGGTTCGCATCCTCAGTTCTCTCCCGGTCTGGCTTTCTGTAAAAGAAATAACCAAACAGGATCACTTTGACAAAGAAATTCACCAGCATCAAACACAACACAAACACACAGTTTAGAAGGAAGAAGAGATAATTCTATAGCACTACTTATGTGATTCCAGATCCCTTCCTGCCTACTCAAGTTACCCATGTGCACAAAATTTAAGAAAGGGAAAGAATGGATTTTGTCCATGATTTCTTTGGTTCAATACAATTCTGAAAGACTTTCTAACAAATGGCAATTATTAGATCACAGTTAAAACACAAATGCCTACACTAAGTGACCTAATCCATTTCTGTGCCAACTAAGAACTGACCACCACTCATCTGCTCCCTATGAACATGAAAGAGAAAGTGGGGGAAGAAGATTTTGTTGTAAATACAACAAAAGAGAAAACATATAATTTTCAGTGTCTGAGGCATCACTAAACAAAATTAACATCACTGTTTCAGCTTTCTGAATTACTTAACTAACCTCTTTAGGATACTCATATTTATGCTCAAGGTGGAAGAGAAATACCCTTAGGATGTTTTATGTGGCAGACTGCAGAGACATCCCAGCCCCATTGATTCCACAAGGAGTTACGATACAGAAGAATGACAGAAGAGGCCATGAAGAGTTTGGGTTTGTAGCCAAGTACAGAACAGTCTTTTTGATAGGACAGAAGAGTGGCAATGATGAAAACAGAAACTCTGCTGCATCAGCACAAATCCAGAAATCGCTACCAACAAACGCAGGCACAACGCTGTTCTCGTACTCCTTCAAGTGATCAGCCATAACATGAAGCAGTTCTCTGTGACAGGCTCTGCAGAAGCTGAGGGAACATCTTAGCCATGCCCAAGAATCTCTACATGCAACATTACTTCAGCCCCAACCAGAAAAACCAAACCAAAACAAAACAACCAAACATCTACTTTCCAAGAAGAAATAGCAGTTCTGTTTATGGTGCTTCCAGGGGAGATGCTGCCATGCAAGAAAAAAAAGTGGGAGCTCATGATGGCAGCAGTTTTGAGAAATATTCAAAAATTAAGAATTCTTTTTCCTGTGCTTGTGTGTATTCTTCAGGGCTTCGAACACCTCTTAAGAATTCAATGGCAACACGTTTCAAAAGAGCTTGTTGGAAGCACCTGAAACAGGCACCTGGGCTCCAAGAAGCTCAGCTAGAGTTGACTATAAGAAAGATGTTATTTGTGGTTTTACCTTACAGTTTGGGAAGGATTCCTGACTGGAGCTTTTTGCTCAGTTGAGGTCTGATGAGGTTGGGGTCCAGAACATAAGAACTGATGCTGCCTGGTTCCCACAGTATGCTGAAGTCGAGGAGGTAGCGCTGACTGGGGTTTTATTGACTTGCTCTGATTCTTTGGCCCTCTGCAATCTGCATCTGTGATAAAGATGTGAAAACAGATTTTTTTTTGTTTTTTAAATCATTTTTTAAGCTCTTTGGGATGAAACATCTGACAATAAAGATTCTGCCACACAAAGACAGGTACAATCCTACCGGGCTGAGCATTCTGCCCCCATGTTGGGAAAAACTTTTTTATCTTCTTCCCTGGCACAGTGTTCCATCCCTCCATAGGAGAGGCCTGTGGAAGAGGTTTAAGGCTCTTCAGTGAGACAGTATGCCTACAAAACAAGGAATTATGGAGGGAAAAATATCTTAAAGACCAGACTGGGGCTTGCATAAATTAATACCACATGTTTACTAAGAATATGAATCTTTCAATTTTTAAGAACACTGCATTCCAAGTCCTTTGTTCTTTATGATTACACTCAAGCAATGTGTAGAAGAGACCTCTTTTTTTTTTTCCTTTAAAAAAATAAAACTCTGTTAAGTTGATGTAAACTTATCCAGTAAAGAATGATCAGCCATTTGTGAAGTAAGTACTGTGTCTTCAGGGCAGACAGAAAAGGATAATGATCAGAAAGAGCTATATACTCAGATAAACTTATCACAAATACTGCAATAGATGTCAAGATTGAAAAACATTATATTAGTGGTTTATATCCTAGAGCAATTACCGTGTTTTTAATTGCTGTAGGATGTCCAAGCAACTGTTTACATTACTTGAAAGGAGGACATTCAAATCTATAATAGACAGTTCAAATCAGGTTAAATCTCAATTTAAAAAAGGAAAAAAACCAAAACTGTGAGAATCTTCAGCTCTCACAACGTTTTTTTTTTTTTAATGGAATGAAATCGCACAAGATTAATGGGCTGGAGACTTATTTTTTACAATTATTTTAAGCTGAAAGAGGGTAGGTTTAGATTACATATTAGGAATAAATTCTTCACTATGAGGGTGGTCAGACACTGGAACAGGCTGCCCAGAGAAGTTGTAGCTGCCCCCTCCCTGGAAGTGTTCAAGGCCAGGCTGGATGAGGCTTTGAGCAACCTGGTCTAGTGGAAGGCGTCCCTGATGATGGCAGGGGGCTTGGAACTACATGAGCTTTCAGGTTCCTTCCAACCAAACCATTTTATGATGATTCTATGATTCCCTCACTTACCCTGACTGAAAGTGTTTCCTCTTCCCAAACTACACCCAACTACAGGGTTTTTTTGCCACAGAAAAGTTACAGAATTTACAGCAGAGCTCAAGAAAATGTTTCAAACTGCTCCCCCCTCCAAAAAACCAAACCAAAAACCACCCAACAAAAAATTCTCGGCCCCCAAAAAAATAAAACCATCACCACTACCACCCAAGAAACAAAAAAATAAACACAAGAAAAACAGCCAATCAGCAACACACAAAAAACCCCTGCAACCCTCACCAGCAACTTTAAACATTTAGTTTGTCCCAAGGTAGGGCAAGGATGACACTGATCTAAACAGCAAATTGGCATATTCTGCATGAAATCAGGACAAGCTACTCAGCCAACAGTGAAGCTAGGTGCACCGATGGACCTTTTAATATGAAAAGCTTCAAATCTAGCATCTAATTATTAAGTATAACAAGCTTAATGGTGTCAATCTGTTTAGGCTTGAATCTTGTGGAAAAAAAAAATTCTAATGCTAATATAGTTACTGTTTTACTCTGCAAGTAATATCCAGACTATGTGGCGCTAATGGAAAAAGTCTAAAGTCACAATCAGTACAGAAACCCATTTTCCTTTTTTTATTTAATATGTTGTTTTCTTAATAATTTTGTGGTAGTACTGCTTCAAGTAAATAAGCAGATACACTTCAGGGGCTGAAATTAACTCTGAAGAAAGTAATGCTGCCATTACCAAGGTTCAGTTTGGCACTCTTTTCCAAAAGAGATTAAAGCACTTACTTTGCTCCAAGCTCTTCTACAAATACAACAACTGGGCCATTCTCTGAGCAAACTTCTTGAATATGAGCATTATAAAATTTCCCATTATGGTCTAAGCGCACCTATAAGGAAAAAGAATAAGTAAAAAAAAAAGTGCATTAGCTTCAAAGAAGACAAGGAGAGGACATAACACAGTATCAGTAATGTTAAAAATAGAACTTTTCTTCTGGGTAACAGAAGACCTGAGAAATAAACATTAGGTAATTCAGTAAATGTAACAAAAGCAAATCTTCCATCCATATCACTTCTTTAAAAAGAAATAAAAATACTATTAAAAAACAAAAACCCCAAACAAACAAAAATCCCAAACATAAAGGTTGCTGAGTAACACTACTTAATGAAGCATGAGAAAGTTAAAAGTAATCAGTGTATCAAGACTTTTCAGCTTTACTGAAAACACTTGCTCTTAGAATAAAACCTAAAGCTTTTCCTTGTTAAAATCCAAGTAAAGACTATAAAAAAATCATTACTAACTTCAGCAGAATTTAGTTTAAGAACATAATGAACATCTATTATTTCTGAAGTTATTCTTCAGGAACTTTTTTTTTTTAAAAGACATAAAAAAAAATTGTTCAGACATGATGTCCTGGTTTTTGCTAGGATAGGGTTAATTTTGTTCTTAGCAGCTACAAAGTGTTGTGTTTTGGTTTCAGTGAGAATTGTTATGAGAACAATGTTGATAACTACAAGGACACTGTGCTTGGGCAGTTTGCAAGAGCAGAGGACTGGAAGAGGGGGCGGTGTGTGGAGAAGTGCAGTAGTTAGTTAGTAAACCCCAGAACTGACAGTTGGATGTGCCAATAAGATATTCCACATCATATTACATCATGTTTAATATATTAACTGGGGCTGAGTGGAAAGGGGGGGATTCTCTCAGGAATCACTCAGGCTCACTTTTCTGGGATTGCAATTTTGATTTCAGGGTTCCTTTTCACTCCTCCAGGATCGTTATCAGTGGGTGGTGAGCAATTGTACTCTGCATCACTCACGTATATATATAGAGAGAGATAGATAGATAGATAGATAGATAGTTGTTATCATTATTATTCTTATTATTTTAATTCTATTTTACTCTAATTATTACATTGTTCTTATCTCAACCTACAAGTCTCCTCACCTCTACCCCTCCAATTCTTTCCCCGATTCCCTGGGTGGGGGGCTGCAAGTGGCTGTGTCTTGTTTGGCTGCCAGCTAAGTTCAACTATCACACATGATCATAGTGTTACTTGTCTGACTGACATTTCGTGTTCTTAAATTTTTTCTGTTAAGTATAAAATAAACTTCATAACATTCTGCTAGAACATTTGGCTTTCCCGCTGTATTAATTTGGTCAGCTCCACTTTTCACTATTTACTTCATCTTCTGTTACCATGTTTTTATCCCATATATTTACTGTCTTGACACATCCATATTAATTTTGACAGAGAGTATGTGAATTACCAGATCTTTTTCTACTAATACTATCTGTACCCTTTAGTAAATACTAAACAAGACAGCCTTAGGGTCTTAAATATACATTTTAAGCCTGTACTATTAAGCAATAAATAATCAACTCCACATTAGGGGTTTTTTGGTTGGTTTCGGGGGGGGGGGGGGGGGGGGGTTGGTTTATGTTTTGTTTTGTTGCGGGTTTGGTGGGTTTTTTTGGTGGGTTTGTTTGTTTTGGTTGGGGGTTTTTTTGGTTTATTTTTTAAATTTAGAGATGTGTTTTTCCTGCAATTTTTTCCACTATGCTTAATTCCATTACACAAATTTTTAAAAGTACAAACTGAAAGAGCCCCCATGCTGCATGATAAACCTAACTGAATATTTTCATATTAATAATTTTAATAGATGGTCAAACATCCTAGAAAGCACCGTATTTAGCCAACTACCACCAGTTTAGTTAACACACCTAAGGATATTAATCTAAAATTTGAGTGCTACAGAATTCAAAGGCAAATCTTATTTCTTCTTAAGCAGCAATACATACTACAAATTTTAATAAAATTTAAAGAGCAATTATGTATCACACTTTGAATACTTTAAGGGGAAGAACTGCCCAAAACTTCAGATCTTCAGGATCTGCAGCAACAAGCAGATTAGAACAAAGCCAATTTACCAAAGCCAATAGTAAACATTATCTCCAGAGTTGAACATAAATACACGGAACTATGATGTTGGTTTTGGTGTCTCCAAAGAAAAGTCTACGTGACAGAAAATGCTATAACTTTGTTCTTCTTCACGCAACTTGTATGCGTGCAAAAAATTTATCATGCAGCAGTATGATAAAGCAAGTGCAGCCATGAGCAAAAGATGCGGTGGAGACAACCATTTGTTCTATAAAAGAGACCTACCCCACACTTTTGCACATCCCAAGAATAACCAGGGAGCTTACGAAGCCCATCAAGAACAGAGCTTAGCCTGGACCAAGTAACTGCCCTAAACACACCTACTTCTCACACAGAGGCTGGGACTTCACAACACCCAGCAAGGACTCACCATGGAGGCAAACCTGCACAAACTTATTTGCATACATAACATCAAGAATCACAGTCATCCTATTAAATATACTCTTGAAGTTAACCTTGTGACTTTTTAATGCAGTAAATATCTGATCAGTGCAATTTCATTACATGCCTTTTCTGCATGTATGCTGTAAGTCATAAACATCACCAACAATTAAATAAGAAGCATATGCACAGTTTGAAGACACAAGCAAAGAATATTTACAAAGTAGTAATTATATATCAAAATAGTTAACAAAGAGAGAATTGGCATCTTGATCAAAGTGTTAATGTGTCTATAAGCTATAATTCAATACTACTTACTTTACATTTATCTCCAACTGAGTATTGCATGCCAGCAGCAATAGAAAAATCTTGCTTTTGCTGATCTGTAAATACATGAGCAGTAATATACTGTTAGTTCTAATACACCAAGAGGTACTTTCTTGATGCAGTAAAAATGCAAACCAGAAGTTCAGGCTGTAAATCTGCACACCGACTCACGTAAGGAAGTCAGCTGCCTAAACCCAAACTGCCATTTGCATCACTGTTCTTCAAGAGGGCTTCACTTTCTACATCTGCTTGCAAAAGCTGGAACTTTTAAAGTATTTGGTTACTTACCCCATTTGGATTGGAGCCAAACATCATATTCAACGTTTCTGTAAACTGATGGATTGAGTGATTTAAGAACTTTTTTAGGTAAGACCAACAAGGTAGGATTCCCATTGCTCTTAAGGTGCTGTATGAAACAGAACAAAGTGCTAAATGGTCAACTACATAAAGATGTAAAATATTCCATTTTTCAGTCATAGTGCTCAAGTTTTAAACTAAAATATAAAAAAGCTAAAAATAACTAAAGCATAAAGAGCTTTAAAAAAATAGAATCAGAGTGTTGTGAGTTGGAAGAGACCCACAAGGATCATCGAGTCCAACTCTTGTCATAATTCAATGGTGTTCTTTTAACCACACCAGAACAAGATTAAAAACCAAGCAGCATTAACAAGGACACTATCTGCCTTTTGGCACATCAAAAGTGAACATTACTTTTCAAAGAAATAAGTAGCTTTGAGATACGACATGCTAGGAAAACTAGAAACTCAAGATTATCTCACGTACATTAAACACTGAAAAACACAGCAGAGTACAAGTTATAAGGAAGAAAAAAAATCTTAGCATATAAATACCTTGTTGCCAGAAAGAGACTTCAATCCATTCATATCACTAACTGTTGTGGCTTTACTCCTGCAAAAGGAGAGAAGCAAGCTGTGGTAATGCAGCATTAGTAATGCCTGGAAATCAGGTAAGAAACATCTTGGAAGCAGATAAAAATACTGAAACTATCACTCTCTACATATTTTTCCACAATAATCCTACCACAGAACATCTTCAGCTCTTAAAATGAAAAAGCTAAGTCCAAAACAAGACCTAAATTTCTACATTATATAGAGCTAAAAATAAGATTTTGGGTTTTAAGTACAAGTTTTAGGAAGTCTAACCTATGTGTACCAACTCAGTCATCACTTAATAAAAAAAAAAAAAAAAAAAAAAAGAGGGGGCAGGCAAGGGAAAGAAAAAATCCCTCTGAAATTTTTGCAACTATGCAACGAAATCATAGCAAAAGCAGACATTAAAAAGCAAACAAAAAAACCCAACTTCAAAACCAAAACCCACTCAGTTAGTTAAATGGCATCAGGCACTCTAATTTACTCTTATTTTCTACACCTGACATCGCTGGAAAATTACTTTCCACAGAGGAAAAAGACCAAGTATTTTTCCCAACAACAGTTGTAGGCAACTGTCAGCATTAACTTCTCCCAAAACCAAATTAAACTATTAGATTTAATAACAACATAACTGAAAAGTTCACATTTATAAAATGAAAAAGATATTCTGGAAAACTAGGTATTGAAACAAGCTGAAGTCATTCAGCTTCAGTACAAGCAAAAAATTTAAGACTTGATAAACACAGTAAAGTGTTTGTAATTTGTGTTAACTAGGTCAGGACTGACACACACTAGCTTTTGCATCGTAAGACACCTGGTTTAAATCAATAACATTGAGCTTGATAGTCTCAAGTGAGTATATGACCTTCATTTACAAAGGTGCTGTGGAGGTTAGCAGTGTATTTTCTTATGAATCCCAAAGATACAGGGTAATGCCACTGCACATGAAGCCCAGGAAAGCTCCAAGAACAGAAAGGAATAAGGAAGGTTTCCACTCTCTGACATTTAGCCACAATAATTGTTCCCCAAGGCAGAAATACTTTGTATTTTAATTGGAAATGTTCCTTAGCATTTTTTTTTCCAAACAAGAAAGGAAGCTAATCCCTTTCCCAGAACTTGGTTTTCTTTCTGTAGTGATTTCCATCACCTTCCTTTCTGTTATTTTCAGCTTGAGGAAAAAACCAGCTCCCAACATCTCAAAGAATTTCTTCTGCCACATGCCACACAGACTACAGCAGAGCCCCCAGAAAGGACTTTAATGAGGTTCAGCGGGAAAAGAGGACATTATTCACTAATAAAGCATAAGCTCCACAAATTCAATGGAATTTCACACAAGCCAGGGTTTCAAGAATAGTATTAAACAGAAGAAAAACTGCCAACATGCAAATGCAAAAATGGCACTGTGAAAGACTTATTGTAAAAAAGGAATCAGTAGGTCAAAATCTCAAAGCTACCTAGAGCACCCAGGTCCAGCAAAAGGAATGCAAACCCACAAATATAATCACTTCATAAAGATCAAGGAACAAAAGGGAGCAAAGTACATCTGTACTTCTCCATCAGCTACATCTCAAGCAGGCATTTCAGCTTCCACATGTGGAAACAACACAAGTTGGATTAGATTCCTGCAACTCTACTGAGCTGCAAGAGTGAGCCAAGTAATTCTCATGGAGTTTACCGTGCCAGACTGGCACGGTGACAGTTCTCCCAGGGGATTCTGATAATTTGAACAGGAAGAGGGACTTGTTGCAATGGCAGTATTCCATTATGTAAAGAAACCCAAAGCTAGACTGCAAGAAAAACAGAAGAACCAGAACCCTGTCCTTAGCTACAGTGAAGATTACACATTTCATTCTTTCATAGTTCTAACCTTACCTCTTTGTGTTTCTTTTTGTAGTAATTTCTAAATGTTTTCAACCCTAAATTGTAAATTAAGTTCTACTACCCAACAGAAATTCAGAAAACTCATTTAACATGTATCACTCTCGGGCACCTTACATTAACTTTTAAATCCCATTTACCTGTAGTTGTCATCTTCTGAATCTGAAGCAGATACTTCACTGCTACCATTGCTTTCCTCTGTTGCACCAACAGCACTAAGTTCCGCTATAATTTTCTTTACGTCTGTATCAAATACTTTCTCATAAAGCAGCTCATACAGCAGAGCTGGGGAAGAGGAGGAGAAAGGGGAAGAGCAAAAATCAATTACAAGGTAAATGAGATTTTATACCACCATTACAGATGCATTAAAATTACAGCAATCAAAGCAAGCAAGCATTTTGATGTGTTAACTGAAACAGTGAAGGCATTAGAAGCAAAACCAGCTGTGGCTACTATGGTTTAATGGGTATGCATGAAACTACTAGAAATAAGGTCTCTTGACAGGCAAATTTGGCCTTAGGCTTGTAACTCTGCACATAGGCAGAGATTTCATGAAGAATTAGAATCCTTCTAAGGACTGTCACAGGGAACCATCAAACGTTTGGGCATTTCTGCAATCTAGTGAAGAAAACAGTAATCCATGAAGACAGTTGTTTTCCACATGTGCAACTCCCACGGTTTCTGTGACAAGTTACACATGCAAGGATAACTTTAATGTAAACAATTAATTTGCTAACATAGTCTGAAATACAAAATTAAAACCAGAATACTGATCAAAGACAATGCAACAGATTATAAATTAGTACACCAACATTTTCTGCTCATATTAGACCATCCAGATTCAAAGGCAGGTAAGTCTTCTCCTTTAAGAATTCATGCTCTCACAAAATCACAGTCTCATTGAAAATTTAAATGGAAAACTAAGCTACTAAAAAATTACTGTAGTAAGCTTTCATACAGAGCCTTTTCCTGAAACCTGATGGCAATCATTTTAGGATTCTTGGTAAAAATACATGCTTTTAACTAACCAACATAATACTTACACTGGCACAGAGCAGCCTTTTCTGAATACTCTATGGGATAAACAATATCATAGTGGTTTCCATTTGAAAAGCACAGCAAAACCTATTAAAAAAACCACACAGATATTTTAGGTTTTGCAACTCACTTGATTTTTCATGAGCACTTCTAATTTAATGTACCAATGCGCTTTGTTACCCCTCAGAATCTCCAAGTATCAATAAAATAATCAACGTTTAGTGGATGTCCTTTAAACCAAAATGAATTTGACCAAAAGTCAAAAAGAATTTAAAACCGAGGTAGCTATGTGAGTTAGCACTTGTAAATTGATTTTTACAGAATTTTAGATTACAAGGAAGATATATGACACCCCAAATATGGACCACCTATTTAAAAAGAAGTGCTACATGTATTAACAGAATGGCTGCTTTAAATATGTACTAAAGAAATTACTAAAATTGAATTGTCAGAATGTTTCATTGTGTTGAAATAATGAAGCTTACATGAAACTACTTGCTGTTTACAAAGTAGTCTTAACTCAGCCTTTCACAGTAGCTGTAAAATTTTGTTTTACCTTATCAGAAAAGCCATTTTCAGTTACATGTGAAGGAGAAGCATTTGGTTCCCGGTATATTATGAAATCTTTCCTAGGGAAAAAGTAGCAGTTAAGAATTCATTTAAAAATTAATATCAATAAAAACTGGAATATTTAAGTCAAGTTCAAGGAACATCCACAACCACAGAAAACAATTAGTGGAAAAGAATACTTGAAGAAGATGAGTACAACTATCACTGGTCAAAAAAGAAGGCTTACTTTTCTGAAAGAATATACCGGAGTAAGATGTGCTGGCACAACAGTCACAGAGCCAATGACAAGTAAAACAAAGTTTCCAGACACCACTCTCTGGAGCTGTGGCTAGAAAGATGATGGCTCCCCAGTCCTGGAGAAATTCATTACATTTTGCCATTTGGAAAGCCACCAGAACAAAGAGAAGGTTAGTTTTATGAACAGAGGCAGGAAACGGTGGTAAGTTTCCAGAAGGTGAGCAATAGCTTAGGCTAAATCTGGAGTAGCAGACTGCTTACATGTGTGCAAGAACCATTCTGGGCACAGAGGCCAGCTAACAGAACAGCCCATGTCCGTGTCTCCTCCCAAACCAAGTTCTTGTGCTCAGAAGTGTCCACACAACATTTCTGCTCCCAAACAGTGGCTCAGCTGCCACAGGGCACTAAGGAGCATGCCAAAAGCCCAACAGGCCATCAGCAGGCATTGCCTGAGGATCAGATATTGTAACCAAGTCTCCAGCACCTCTGAAAACCATGCCTTCCACATGTCTCAGTTTTTTCATTTGTAGAGAGAAGAAACTTTTCCTGCATTTTAAAATGGATAACATACCGGGGGTGGAGGGAGACATTCAGAGGGCTCAAGTTTCCCTTTCTCTTTGGATAAAGGCTCCATGAACTGTGGTGTCTAACACCATGTTGGGTTCATTAGACTCAAATTGCTGGATTTAAAGTGGCAAAGAAACCCCTCTGTTCTCTTTTCAACTGAAAGAATGGAAACAAACTTTTTGGGAAGCTTGGACCAAACCCGCAGATCATGTGCCACTGCAGTGTTGGCAGATGCTCATCATCAAGGGCATCAGTCTAGTATACTTCTTCAGAATAGGTTTAGAAAATTTTTATCACTGCTTCAGAATAAGTTTAGAAAATTTTTATCACTGCAAACTAAGTTTGGGCACCTCATTACATTTAAGATTAAAAAAACATAAATGAAGAATAGAGCTACTACAGAGAAACAAATTTAGAATTTACATTCCATGCTTGTAATTCCTTTTTTAGCTTGTTAGATTAAAAAGCATAGAAAGTTGAACTGGATATAAAGTGACAAATACATGAAAATCCTCAACTGATATGGACATGACATGCTATTTGATTTTTTATTTTCTAAAAACTGAAAGACTACCAATCCTTGCTGCTTGTTTTTCTGCTATAATCAAACTGTGTAATGACCTCAAATTTAATTGTTCCCTCTCTCTTTTTTATCCATAATCCTCCCTTTGAATTCTTTGCTCAGCAACCAATCACTTCCTTCAACTTCTTCCTTGCTCACAAAAGCAAAAGTTTTATTAGTCATGCAGAATGATTAAGTATATCCACAGATTCTGGATTTAAAAAAAAAAAAAAAAAACAAAACAACAGACCCCAAAACTTTCTACAACTCAGAAAAAGCAATTCTGAGAGGAAAAGAATTTCATAGCTCAGAGACCTACCTGCTTCAGGGAGTCAAGGAAAATTTACTGGATAACCAAATTATACTTGTGACAGATCCGAGGGGTGACAATGAAAACAAACCTATTCACACTGCATTTCTATCCTATGCTTAAAAAAAATCTAAAATCCCTTTTTCACCTGGCACAGAAAGTTCATACTTCTGCTTTCCTCCAGTTTGCCAGCATACAGGAAAGGAAGCAACTCTTCTGCCCTATCTCCCTCACCATTCCTACTTTCCCAGAGCTTCTAAATCACTTTTAACAAAAGCCACTCTTAGGATAACAAGTATAGTAGTAACAATCGTTGTGAGTTCAACTCTACAGTGAAATACTACGTATAGTTGCAACTATGCCACAAGCCTCCTCATGGTTCCAATGGAAAGTAAAAAAATACTATTGTCAACCAGGACTTGTTTCTGTATTCATTTATCAGCTGTGGTCCTGGACACCAAAGTATCATCACTCCAAAATAAACTGCTTCTATTTCATGAGAATACATTTCAAACAGAAGATCACAGCCATCCCAGCTCTAATGTAATCAAATATGCAATTTTGTTGACTTAAGTTGAGTTATGTCCCTCTACACCCTGGTTCTAACCATCAGATGTTCTCTCCAAGCCTCTTGAGCCAAACTTTACTCTGACTTTCATTCAGTTCAGTCCTCTTCCACCCATGCAACACATGCAACTCTGAACTGTCCCATTAACCACATAAAATGCAAAGATAGAATTTCATGCCATTTCCCACACTTAGTACTCACCTAAGTACCTGCAAGTAATATTTAACTAGCTTGCTTCTTTCCTCTTATCAACTGTCTCATTAGGAGTCAAAGTATAAATAAAGTTATTAATTTACAGTAAGCATTTTGAAACACTGAGTTTTTAACTGGTTTACAAACAGTGGAAAGAGAAGATGCTGTACATTGCTCATTCCCTTGCACAGTAAGTAGAAAGCAGTTACAAATATTCAGCATATTGTTTCATACTATTTTGTGAAAAAAAGATTAATATATAGGAGTACATTTAATAAAAACACATCAGCAAAACTGTTGATCACCAAGAGGACTATTTATCCCAACACAAGAAAGACATGGACCAGTTAGAACAAGTCCAGAGGAGGCCACCAGGATGATCCAAGGGCTGGAGCACCTCTGCTGTGAGGACAGGCTGAGAGAGTTGGGGCTGTTCAGCCTGGAGAAGAGAAGGCTCTGGGGAGCCGTTACAGCGGCCTTCCAGTACCTGAAGGGGCCTACAAGAAAGCTGGGGAGCGACTTTTCATAAGGACGACTAATGACAGAACAAGGGGTAATGGCTTTAAACTGGAAGAGGGCACGTTTAGATTAGATATTAGGAAGAAGTTCTTCACTGTGAGGGTGGTCAGACACTGGCACAGGTTGCCCAGAGAAGCTGTGGATGCCCCCTCCCTGGAAGTGTTCAAGGCCAGGTTGGATGAGGCTTTGAGCAACTTGGTCTAGTGGAAGGTGTCCCTGTTCATGGCAGGGGGGTTGGAACTGGATGATCTTTCAGGTCCCTTCCAACACAAACCATTCTGTGATTCTATGATCCACGCACAAATACCAAAGCATTTCAGAAGTACAGCTCAAGTTATGGCCCGTGACAAAAGCATGCTATTGCACCTGTACCAACGCAGTCAGAGAAGGAAAATGTATACAGAAAAGAGAGTAAGCTACAGCAATACACCACACACTCTTCTATCAGTACACACAGCTCCATACCAGGGAGGTGTGAGAACGGCTTTCTAGCACACAGCCTACAACACTTGTACAACTAAGCTACACCGGAGCATTCATACAGAGGTAATAAAGAAATGGGTACAGCCCACAGTGCAGGAATAGGGTTAATATTAAAGCTTTGGTGAGAAACTGGAAGGGAAGCAGTTTTAACAGAAAAATTAAGAGATGAAAGTTAACAAAATATAAACTGTATGACTCTACCCATAATCAATTTTGCAGGTGAGATGAATGACATTATTGCAAACGTATTCAAATGCCAGATTAAATATAATTTTTAAAGCTCACTTTTCTACTTTTATTTAATACCTTGACTGTTGCAATTTTCAAAGCATATTTGTAATTTTCTGGAGAACTATAGTATAACATACAACTCCATCTTTGGTATTCCAAATGATTCACTAGCAAAACAACTGAACTGATCTCAATAAAACATATTTAAAGGTTTTCTTACTTGTACATAAGAGAAAGGGCACTTATTTCTACTTGTCCAACCCACTCCTGCATTGAAAAAAAAAAAAAAAAAGAAAAAGAAAATTAAGTTCAAACAAACACACAATTATTATACTTCCTCATGTGTAGATCAAGAGAAGCAAGAGAACAAATATATTAACACTGAGTCTGGTGTTCAGCAGAGACATTTTGATTGTATTTGAAGGTTTTTTGAAATAACAGTAACTATTCCAATAAGGTCATTAATAGGTACAAGCTAGAGGGATTTTTTCCCAAACTAGAAATGCACCTGTATGAAAACTGAGAACTAAAAACAATCACATAAATGCAGGTCTATCATTAAAGAATATGATTTTGAAAGGTGATAGTGTTGTGTTTTTTTTTCTTTTGTTAAACAGCCAGCAGTCTAGCTTTTCAAAAGTAATTTTTACATATCAATACCTAAAAAGACCAAAAATCTCCTCTTTAAAGCTGTTAAACAGTGAAATGTCAGTAACACCATTACCCAGACTCAAATCACAGAAAAGTAAAAGGAGCTGCTTCCACTTCCAGCCTAACTGCTCCACTATGTGCTTGCTCCACTATGATGTGACTAGGTCTTCCTAATTTGTTTATTTTCTCTGGTGGTTTTTTGTTGTTTACCTTTTTTTTTTTCTTTTTAAAAATTCTTACTAAAATAAAAACATCTCAAATTAAGTTTTGAGGCAGGAATTTGTAGCAGTCTTTTTTTTAGAATTTTTTAATTCTCACGACAATTTTAAAATATAGAATAACTTACTATTAATTTCTCTGATGATGTAAAAAACTTACTGTAAAGATTTTTTTAAAAATTAGCAGACATGTATGAAAAAGACATTTTCTATACACACAGTGCAGTGTTGTAACCCATTTACACTGGCGTAGTCCAGCGCAGCATAAATTCTACTGGAAAATGGCCTGATTTACCATTTGGCATAGCATATATCCTCAGGATTTGACTAAAAAAGTTTTGCAATTAAAAATCCTGGTATATACAAAGCAAGAAAGAAGCAGAATAGGCTAACAGCCCCTTCCACCATTCATTTTGTAAACTGAAATAAAGAACCATCCAGTTAGCTATTCTGCCTAGGGATGCTGTAGGCATGGCGGGGGAAAGAAAAAAAAAAATAAAAATCATGCTTTAATTTCTAGAAGGGGAAAATTTCATAAAATTCATGTACAAACACTTAAAAAAAAAAAAAATTGATTTTGCAGTGTTGCACTAGATAGTCCTCTTCCTCCCCCCTCAGCTTACACCAACTGTTAATGCCCTAATAAAAACAGTAAAATTAAATGAGGTGGGGAGTAATAATAATTTTGCTTCAAATCAGTATCTTCGTAAGAGCCCATGGTTACTGTTCAGAATATCCCTTACCTTAATAACTGTCTTTCAATCATATAAACTGTTAGACCTTTCAAGGCTGTCTTCAAGACAAATTTAGCCACACTATGTTTGTTGGCATTTGCACAGGCTAGAAACGTTGAGATACGGTTTTGAGGAATAACGATTTTAAACCAAGACACACACAAAAAAAAATTCCCCAAATCACTTTACAATAGAATACATGCATAAAAATATATATTCACATAAATCAAAGACCTCTTAAGCTCAGTCAAAAACATTTGTGAGAAAAATAAAATCCAATTACCCATCAACTTCAAGAAAATACTGCTTTCTATCATAAATGAAGTTTAACATACCTGTGGATTTTCCAAACATTTTAAATACTCTTCAAATGGCCCCTCTATGAACTGTATTAAAAAAAAAGGTAATTATTAATTTGTATTAGTGTATCATATGGATCCCCAGTATTTGACCCACTGTACCAATGGGAATGTACCACTGGAAATTTAAGACTATCCTACTCTGAAGAGCTTACAATCTAAGTATAAAGTGATGTAGAGATGAGGGAATAAATGGTCAAACATATAGGTCTGCATTCCAGAAAATAACCACATAACCAGCTTTTGGAGTCATCACACAATCCAAACCAAAACAAATACAAAAAAAAAACACAAAAAGAGATTTCTCAACCAAATTAGAAATCTGAAAGAAAGTAAAGATGATGTTTATGGGGATCTCATCCACCCCAGACATGCATGGCATCACTGGAGACAGCATGTGTGGGCTTATTCTAGTGTCTTGTTAAAAGAAACAGGCAGCAATGGACAATCAGAAATGGAAGTGACGTTTCTTTAGTACCCAAGTAGTGATAAGATACAGTATAGGCAAATCATAAAGCATTTATTCCTCTCCCCTGTGCCACTTCAAACAAACTGCTGCTACTTTCAGTGAAAGGATGCAAACCATCGGGCTACACTCTAAGTGCCAGGCTAAGGAAGTGCTTCAGCTTCAGCAGCGCTCCTTACCACACACAGAGGCCAAATCACATTTGTCAAGGACAGGGAAAGGTGCTGCAGTAACTGAAACATGTTAACTCCAAAGTGTTTCAGCCATGCTGACCAACAGGGAGCCTGTATGTAAAAAATGCTATTTGGACACAATCTGTTTGATTTAGCTAAAATAAAGATCTAGAGGTTCAAAAAAAGAGTTCCTATTATGAACTTAAGCTACAAGCAGGATGGCCTCTTTATCCATAGTGATTAAGAAACAAAGTAAGAAGAAAAACTAAGCAGACAATAGAATCATTTCAGTTGGGAAAGACCTTTAACATCATCAAATACAACTGTAAACCTAACTCTAATGTCCAATCCAAACCTTCCTTGGTGCAACCTGAGGCCATTTCCCCTAGTCCTGTCACATGTTACTTGGGGAAAA